GCAGTTGCAGTCGAAGTCCTTGTCGAGGACCGGTGCAATCTTGACCTCCTCGAGGGCCTTGAAGCGGTCCTTGGCCATCTTCTCCAAGACCTCGTAGGCCCGACATCCGGCAGGCAATGGGACCGACTCGTGGACGAAGAACTGGATCAGGAAGAACGTGTTCAGAACGTCCTCGCCAACGTCCTCCTCGACCCTCACGCCGATCGCCCCGAGCATGAAGACCTTGGCCTCGTCGGGCAGCTCGCCGAACGTCTTGGCCTTCCCCGCCCACTTTGCAGGAGCCTGGGCCGGCTCGCCAGGCCCGCCGGCAGCCGTGGTCCGGAGCAACGTCTGGAGAGCCCCGTCCCGGATGAGATCGGCGAGAGGCCGAACCCATCCCGGATTGTCGTCCAGCTGTCCGTCCACGAACGCCCTGGCACGTTCGAACGACGACTCCTGGAAGTTGGCCAAGGACTTCGCGAACGTCTTCTCGTTACGCTTCTGGAGCTTCGCCTCCTTGACCTTCCGCCGAGCTGCCGCCTTCTCCTGCTGCTTCCGAACGGCCGTCGCCCTCTTGTTGCCCGTGCTGCTCCTGGCCATGTTCGCGACGAAGGGCTACGAGCTACGGCTACGAACGACCCAAGGATGGTCGAAGACTGGACTTTGCCAAGTAAACGGTCCAAGACAATAGTAGCTCGAGAATGGGAATGTGCGGCATCACTCGCAGACTGGCACAGCACTATAAGAATGACATCTGCAGGACTTCTTTCTTTTGGGATTTGAGGCAAAGGTCTAGCTTGCTTTATCGATTAACCCGAACAACGACTGGGAGCTTTGGGACTTTCTGCAGTTTCACTGCTACAACGGGGATTTGGGGCTATGCTGCAGTTTACAGTGACAGGTACACGGTTTCAGAGTGTGTGAGTCAGCAACCGAACGACCCATCCAAACCAGCCTTCCGAGCGACCTGAACGAGCACGATCGTCCCACCTTCCAAAGCTAATGTTCGGGCGAGGGGCCAAACAGGACGGGGTAAGCTTGCTTTAAGACTGGTGGGTTGTGTTGTAACTGTTATGTTTGACTGAAAGGTGAGGTGAGGCTGCAAAGTTTTATTGGGTTGTCAAACTAGAACGGAAACTTTTATTTATGTCTATCTGTAGGTATATATATATATATATATATATATTATGTGTGTATATACAAATACCTATTATGGTATATGTGCAATGAACACATTATATAGTTAATGTTACTTTCTATTTCTTACACACACAATGTGTTTGTGCAGTTTTCGCATCGTCTTCAAGGTTTAGGGCTCCGGTTTGTTGTGTAGTGTTAGTCAGGGCCAAGGAAGTGTGGTGGAGGACGGGCTTGATTGTATTGGGGATTTGGGAGCGGGTCGGCCTAGGCTTCCTTATATTATATCTAAGATTAGATTAGACTTAATTAATTATTAGCTTTAAGCTGCACAAAGCACTCGGGCAAGGCACGAACTCGAAAGTCGCAATCTCTCACTTTCGGCGAACGACCGCAATCAGAACTACGGCAAACCATTGAAATCCGAAGAACCCAATCGCTTCCCGAACACAGGCCTGCCTCAGCTTCGAACGCCCCAGCACCTGCCAAGCAAAGGAATGGTGGCACAGACTCAGAAAGCACGACGACTGACCACGGCGATGCAGAAGTACGGCCAGCTCCTTTTTATGCATGCTTTGCACGGCACGTGCACGTGCACGCCGGAGCTCCGGCGAACGTCAAAATCGAGCTCCAGGAACGGCCGCTGTGGCAAAATGTGGAGCTCATGGCCTCAGTCAGATACTTAGACAGGCAGCCGCAGTTACCACGCAAACACAAACAACGCAACAGCTGCAAGAGACAAGTCACAATGATCGCCCACGCCGAACGACCTAGCGATAGTCGTCGAAACGGCGACGGCGAGGGTCCTGAACATTCCAAGCAGAAACCAAGGAACACAGCCGAACGATCAACAACTAAATCCACTAAGACTAAAGCTGCAATCAAGGCACCGGCTCGTCGCGACGGCCCCAGTGTGGAACCGGCCGGCCAGGGTGGCCTGGATCCGAGAGACGCTCGTCCTCCTCGAAAAAGCGGCGACCCGGTGGACGATAGTTCGCCCAACGATCGTCCGGGCGACGATCGTCCCGAGGATCAAAGCTGCCACGACGATCGTCCCGGTCCCGAGGGTCGAAGCGACGATCGTCCCGGGGATCGAAGCGACGATCGTCCCGAGGATCAAAGTCGTAGTCACGGCGATCGTCCATGCCTCAACTCATGTATTATTTACTATAAGTGACTAATTATTGTCAACCGTGAGCCCTGAACCTTAACTTAAAAGCTTAATGCCTACGAGTGACGGCGATCGTCGTAGTAGTCCCGAGGACCCTGAGGAGGAGGGCCACCAGCAGGAGGACCAGGAACGCCACGAACCCACGCACGACATGGAACGGCCTGAACCGCTGGACGAGGGTCGCCGCTGCTGCCTGAGCTGGGTGTTCAAGTACAAAGAAGCCAAAGCAGCACAAACGAGCGACCTCAAACAATCTGAACCCTGATGAAAACCTCAATGCCCGAGTGACCCGGAAGGCCGGGAATGCCCGGACGCAGGCGGTCGAGCTCCTTCCGAACGGCACTCGTGATGGCGGCCGCCGGGTTCTGGTACTGGGGGTGGTTGGAGTTCTCACCTCAGTTAGTTTCCCAACGACCCAGGAACCACCCACGAACGCCCAAGACATGACTTTTCCAGCCAAGTTTCGCTGAACGACCTGAAACAACTCCCGGACGAACTTCGCTCCGTCCGCCGAGTGTCCAGCCAGGTTGGCGACCGACTTGGTTGGGCAGTGGGAAAAAAACAACCTACGCAAGCACACCATGATATTTAATCCGAGCGACCCTGAGGCACCTTTCGTCGATGTTCAACTGGTCCAACTCGATGAGAATGGCCGGTGCCACTCTCCAAATGTCCAGGCGAATCTGACAATCATGCTTCATTTCAATGTCTGTCAAGCAAGCAACTGCATGACACACACACACACAAAGGCTTGAGTTCAGCCAAGTAACGGAGTCGAGGACCGCATTCCCGACCGACGGCATCGATCCCTCCAGAGCGGTGGGATCGAACGTCCCATGGCCGTAGTCGGGGTTGGCCCCGCCCCCCCCGTCCCCGTCGCCGTCGGCCGCCGCTGGTCCTGGCGGAGTCGGGGTCCTTGGAGGTGGAATCGGATGAGTGTTCACCTGGAACGACCTCAGAGTGTCCATCACCTCGTCCGGCAACTTCGCCACGGCCCACCACTCGTGGCTCAGATCGCCGAACGTCGGCAACCACACCGGGATGTCGTAGACCGCCGAGAGGCCAACACCGAGAGTCGCAGACCTGTTCCGGCCGTGCGAACCTCGCAAACGGCAAAAGCACAAAGCCCGAAAGCAACAAACTACCGCACATGAACGACATGACACTACTGACTGCATCCAGGAGCAGACGATCTGCAAGATCGAACGGCCATCGAGCTTCGCAAGGCTCTCGAGTATCGGGCAAAGAAGCTCGAAGGCCACCTTGTACTCGGGCTGGTTGAACGGCCCCATGAACGACGCCAGCTTACACAGCGGGTTTCCTCGGGGGGCACAGTGCACACGATCTACCAAAAACGATAGCAACAACACTCAGGCTCCGAAGCAGTCCTGGCGGGGTGTTCGCACGGGCCTGAACGTCCGAGCTCCAAACGCCCCGAATGTCGATCTGCACGTGAGTGGCCTCCAAGTCCAACCAACGTTTCTTGAAGAACCACGGACAACACGAGTGGCCCTTCTGTCCTCAGCTTCGCCACTTCGGACACAAAAAACAACCCTCCAATCAAAGACGCAGCAACATGAACAACCTGAGTTAAGACTAGTCACCGATCGACCCCGCACGACCCGAGGGGTGGTACGCCTCTTCCGCCCCCCAAGCCACAATGAGTGGCCCGTTGTACCATGGGCCTTCGTCGATGTGATCGTCGACGCCCACGTAGTCGAGGTCCTCGCCGGCAGACCGCCTTGGGCCTCCACGTCCCAGTCGTCCAGCCATGGTGAGCGACGA